TCAAGTGCGGCCAGGCTGAAGCAATTAGAGCAAACAAAACCATTTATAGATCAACAGAAGGTTTTATGCTCACTGCTTTGGAGAAAATATTGGCTACCAGAGGGTATGATTTGCTTTCTCTTGATTTCACTGCTTGAACTTTGCACCTCGCTCCCCCAGAAGCACAGGATAAGCTGAACTGTAGGTCCTCAGCCCCAGACACAAAACACCCGACTTCATGGGGAGCTCTACGTCCGCATTGGTGCAGGTGGCATTTCATGAAGGATGCGGAACAATCGCTGCCTCGTAAGAAGTAATTGTGTGGGGGGCAAAAATGGATCTCGGGCTTAATGACAGATAACTGCAGTAAAAAAGACCTTGTTTCCAGTTGTTTCACATGCATTTTTTTTCTTGGCAGATAAAAAATACGTGTACAACTTACTGAAGCAGTGTGATGAGCGTCACATGAAAGTGTATCTCAAGGAGGAAATCCCAGACAGGTTTCATTATCGCCACAACGGGAGAATTCAGCCCATAATCCTGATTGCAGATGAAGGCTGGACAATTGTGCAGAATGAGGCCCTCTCAAAGCGTAAGTGGGATTTCCCCATCTGAGCTTGTGTGACTTACACTGGTAGAGGGTTTTGCTTTGACCCCAGCGACCCGTGGGCTGCTCCTGGTTTAGCAAGTGGAGTCTGTGCTCCTTTAGGAACATCTCAGCATTTCAGAGTCTTCTCAGCTGGAACCTGGGGGTTCCCACTGCAAAGGAAGAAAGGGTTTCTGTTGGATGCCAGGAAACACTTGTGTACAGAAAGGGCTGCTCAGCACTGCCATGGGCTGACAGGGAGGTGGTGGAGTCCCCATCCCTGGCTGTGTTTCAAACCGTTTGGATGTGGTGCTCAGGGCCATGATTTAGCGGAGGGCTGGTAGAGTTGGGCTGGGATGGTTGGGCTGCAGTTGGACTCCATCATCTTTAAGGGCTTTTCCAATCTGAGCTATTTTATGGTTCCATGACTTGTTCTATTGGCTGAAACACTTGGCCACGCTCAACTTTATAGCCTGAGATGCACCTCTGGGTTTCCCTTGTATTTCTCTTGTATTTTAATATTTCACCAGTGTGTTGTTTAAATGCTTATGTATAAAATATATATATGGGGGAGGGGGGAAGAAATTAAGGAGTGTGTGGCTGGGCTGGCTGCTGCCAGGACAGAGCACTGTGCAGTGCAGCCCCTGCTGCCACCCCGCTGCCTGTGCTGTTGTTTGCACAAAGGTACAGCTTGTGACATGTTTGTGTTCCACCTCCCCCCAGCATCTGCCACTCGTCTTCCCACTGACGTTTAAGGTGTTGGAGTGTTTTCCAACAGAGCTCTCTTCTGTTTTTGTGCTCAGATTCAATGTCACGTACCTAAAAATAGCTGATAAATATATAGAGACCAGTAACAGCATTGCATCAGTGCTCACTTCATTGAAGTGAATCACTTTGCAAAACAATTGTGCTAGCTATGGCTTCCTAGAAGCAGGAAGGGGAGGTATTGGCCTGCCTGGCTGTTTGTTGCCCTCCCGCAGTGGCAGCACAGCTCTGTGCCCAGCACTGTTAGCACACACTTGCACTCCTCTTCCTCAAAGCTCCACTGGAACATCTCCATTCAAAGCAAGTAGCAGAAGGAAAAAGTCTAATCAAGAAATGTAGGAGTACATTAAAACAAGTTACTGCACCGTATCTTGTTTAGAACTTGACAGTAACTAATGCAGTGGTGGAAAATGTTAAGAGGTGAGTGTGGTCTAAAGCAATAGGAGTCTGATGTTTCAGATGGACAGCTTTTAATGAGGGAGGTGACCCACAGAACTGGTACTAAGAAATGAGCCACAAACTGAGATGCAGTCACTCTTGCTGTGCTGAGCGTGCTGTGTGGGACTGTTGGTACCTGGAACGGGTTCTGCAGGTGTGCTCTGATTAGGAATTTGGGCCGTGGCTGTTGATACTTTACCAAAAGTCAGTGTTTCTTACAAATTTACCAGCTGCCCAAGTACCAGCGACCTTGCAGCCACAAGGTGTTGCTAGATGTTTGGATCTTTATCTGTCTGTAGGGATTTGTTTTGATACGCATTCACCTGACCTAACCTGATAAGCAGGATCAGATCATAGACCTGAACTGAACACCATCAGTGGGAAGGTGCCTGTCTTTCAGAAGAAAAGACCCTTTGCTTTGCTAAGAGGAGGGTCTTTCCAAAATCTAAGAAATGCAAACTTGTGCTCCAACCGTGAGCTTGTGGAGTGGTAACACCTTTTCAGCTTTGGCTGGAATGGGAGGGGGAGCAAAGGTTAATTGGGGTAGGGAAAGGAACATTGGTATGAGAAAAGACTGCTGGGGGGGCTGGAAGAGGGAAGCTCTGGGTTTCATCAGTGTGTGATCCAAGCGCTGCCCTTAGAACCACAGCATGGCCTGGGTTGCAAAGGCCCACAGCACTCATCAGTCCCAACCCCTGCTGTGTGCAGGTCACCAGCCAGCAGCCCGGGCTGCCCAGAGCCACATCCAGCCTGGCCTTGAATGCCTGCAGGGATGGGGCATCCACAGCCTCCTTGGGCAACCTGTGCCAGTGCCTCACCACCCTCTGGCTCAAAAACTTCCTCCTAGTGCCTGCCTCAGCCCCTGGTCAAAGTGCCTCGTGCAGCGGGGGATGAAGGGGAGGGGAACACTCGACATGCAGACAGAAGCTGCCATGTTACCTCTTGAATTTGCATTTCTCCAGTAGGTGACCACGGTTATGACAACTCCCTCCCAAGCATGCATCCATTCCTGGCTGCCCGTGGCCCTGCTTTTCGTCGGGGTTACCGGCAGAGCACCATAAACAACGTGGATATTTACCCGATGATGTGCCACATCCTGGGGCTGGCAGCGCAGCCGCACAACGGCACTCTCAGCCACACCAAGTGCCTGCTGGCTGACCAGTGGTGCCTGCAGCTCCCGGAGGCCATTGGGATAGTGACTGGGGGGCTGCTGATGTTGACCACCTTCACCTGCGTTGTCATAATGGTCACAAAGAACAGAATCGCTTCTCCGCGTCCGTTTTCCCGGCTCCAATTGCAGTCTGATGACGATGACCCTTTAATTGGGTAGCTGCCCCTTTAATTGGGTAGCTGCCCCTTTAATTGGGTAGCTGCCCCTTTAGTTGGGTCGCGTGCGCTGAGCTGAGCCTGCCTGGCAGAAGGGATTTCAGCGAGCACGTGTGATCTTGCACTGCAGGGCATTCTTTGATGCACTTTAACAGTATCTGTGTAAAATACTGTACAGCCCAGACCTGCTAACTTCTGTGTGTGTCTTAGCTGATTTGTAGTCCTGTGAAAAGGTGTTCAGAAATCCTCAACGGGTCATTTGCTGCTGGAGGAAGTGCTTAAGAAAATAAAGATGTTTAATTTTTCACTCGAGTCGTTGAGCGCTTTTAAAATGAAATTCCAGAGCTTCTGTTTCCAAACCCTATGGAAGGTGTTCTGAGGTGCAGACTGCTGAATGTGTGCCTGCACCAAAGGTGGATGCTGCCCTACCTGCCAGCTGGTGCTGGCCGTCAAGCAAAGACTCCAAGCTTTTATTTTAAACTGGCAATTTAAAGGGAAAGGTTAAATTTCAGAGATGAGATGATGATCTTTGAGGTATCTGACTGGTGTGGGTTCAAAGCTGTGGTGAAGACCAGTGCTGGTGGTTTTCTCCTTTTTAACTGTCAGATCCAGCAAGTTCATACACAAAAATGGGTTTGATTTAGAAAGCCCTTGTGGTACCTCCTCTTTTAGTGAGGAAATGATGTGAGCTTAAACTGTTACACAAACCTCAAAATAGAGCTGTGGTCACCAAGTCCTTTTTCTGTGTTTGACAGTTTGAAGAACGAATGCAATGAGAGAGCTGAAGTACATGGTGGTGGTGTGCAGTGTGGTTTCTTGCTAAAACTGCCTGGATTTGGTATTAGCTGCAGAGTGCCTCAGCACCTGAGCACATGGACCCTGCAGGTTCGAAGTTCCTTGCATACAGCAGGAGATCAGGCTGGCATGGAACTGGCAGGCGTGGTGAGACTGAACCGTGCCAGCCCTGCTCTCACCAGCTGTTGGCACACGTGAGGAAATGAGGCCTTGGCCCATTGCTCCAGGTCACACCTTTGGAAGAGCTCCTCATAAACCCTTATCTCCTCCTCCCTCCATCACCAAGATTAACTTGCTTTACAGGGAAAGTTCTACTGAGTACTAAACAGGGAACAAAGTATCCTAATTGCATCGCTGTTTATTTTCCAGCCCAAACAAAGTACAGCACGTGAGAGCATTAAGCATTCTTTCTAGAGCAGGTCCTTGCTGCTGTGCAGCCATGAAAATGGTGAGCATCCCCTTCCACGCGTCCTTCCTGATTAGCCAAAGCTTACTTTACCTGTTCCACTTACTTGGAATAAATCTCAAAACCCCAAGGTGAAGGATGTGGGTGTTTGGGTTTTTTTTCCCCCCCAAATTGCTGAGAATGCACCGTAACCTTAAGGCAAATAACTGTACAGTGTCACAGTCATCACACCTCACAGCTCTCTAGGAACAGAACAGGGTACCCAAAGTGTGGGCAAAAACTGAGTGCTCTCAGAAAGCCAACCTTCCTCCAGTAACACAGCAAATGAGCAGTGCTGGGGAAAGCAGCAGCTGTGCTCACCAACTTCACAGAACCACAGCATGGCCTGGGTTCAAAGGCCCACAGCGCTCCTCCAGTCCCAACCCCTGCTGTGTGCAGGTCGCCAACCAGCAGCCCAGGCTGCCCAGAGCCACATCCAGCCTGGCCTTGAATGCCTGCAGGGATGGGGCATCCACAGCCTCCTTGGGCAACCTGTGCCAGTGCCTCACCACCCTCGGGGGGAAAAACTTCCTCCTCAGATCCAACCCAAACTTCCCCTGTCTCACTTTTAAAACCATTCCCCTTGTCCCATCACCACCCACCCTCACACACAGCCATTCCCCTCCTGTTTATCCGCTCCCTTCAAGCACTGAAGGCCACCATGAGGTCACCCCACAGCCTTCTCTTCTCCAAGCTAAACAAGCCCAGTTCCCTCAACCTTTCCTCGTAGCAGAGCTGCTTCAACCCCCCCATGTTCAGTTATCACTCTTCTTCATTCTCTCAGGAAGTCCTCAGTGTGCTGCATCTCTTCAGGCCTCGTGGATGTGGTCACCAACACACGCAATGACCTCACCTTGCTAAGTTCAGCTGTTTGAGACAGTAAGACCAAGTCTCTTTCCGTTACTAATAGTGGGTGTTTCCTATTCCACCAAGGAGAATATTCTCATATCCATCTCCATAAATAAAATATACAATCAGTTGTGTAACTCCACATATTTGGCTTCACAGTTTGTTTTGCTGTTGTTTCTTCAGTGGCACTGGTTGAGGTTGGGATAGAAAGTACTGTGCAGGGTCCCTGACTCAGAAGATAAAGCAAAACACTGTGATGATCGAACACCTGCACTGAAATTGATCGGACTCAGCGCACAGCTTCCCATGGTTTATCAGCCTGGTAAGGCTGGCTGAACGTTACAGCTGTGTGTGATGTAATGTCGGGATCACATCCTTGTTACAGACATTCGTGTTGGGATGAGCACTGGAGCTTCAGACACAGCCTTGAAGCAAACGAGCAGAAAAGCCATCCAAAGGCATCCAAAACCATGGATAGGTTTACCAACATCACCTTAGTGCAAATCCTGCCTTCAGGAGAAAGAGAAGCACAGATGCATTTCTGCTGAGCACATTGCTAGTTTCTTCCTTCCCAGTGCCAAAGGGAGATGTCACACTGCGTCCTGGCACCTGCGAAAGCCTGAGCGAAGGCTTTCTGAGTGAACCTGACTATTTATCTTCCAGGAAGCAGCGAGATATTTCACCTCATTCGAATCCCAATTTTCATCTTCAGGTGCTGAGTTCATCTAACTCAGAACTAGCTGGCTCATTGCTGTGCTCCATTTATCATCATGCTACGGAGCCCTGCTGCCCAGGGGGGAGCAGAAGCAGCTCCTGTTAACCCTCCAGCAGCCGCAGGCAGCCTACAGGAGCTGTGCTGAGCCGAGATGCTGGGCTGGCAGCACGTGGCACCAGCCACAGGGACAGGCGGGATGGGAGGTGCAGGTGGCACTTCAGACCTTGTCACCAACTGTGTATGCAATCATGAAACAGCACCATTCGCTCCTTTGTATTCTTAGGGTATTTTTTTCCTTTCCCTCATCATCTGCTGTGCAGCGAGCAACAAAACCCAGGGGCTGTACTACGACTGCCACAGAAACAAGCAGCTTCCACCCCCAGATTCCCATTTGCATCTCTGGCCTCTGAGCTTTGCTTTCCACCAGAAGTCTGTGTAACAGCAAGCTGGAAAGCCAGCGAGCAGAAAGGAGGAGCCAGGACATGAAAACAAGTTAGGAACCTGTATGTTTGGGCACGTCTCTTCCTCCCTAACAGTGGAGCACAGGCACAGCACGAGAATCCTGCAGGAAAACAGAATAGCATTCTGTTCCTGATCTCAAACTGACAACTGAAGAGAATTGCTAAACTTGGACGGGACAAAATGAATAACAGCTGGAAAACAGCACGGGGTCAGTGAGCCTGAGCCCTTTCAGAGCTGAACAAGGCACGAGGCTTACTGCTTCACAGTGGGTCCCGCTGCAGGAGGAAGCAACGTGAGCTGTACTCCAAGCTGAGGTGTGCTTACTGTCATGTGTAATAGCTAGCTGAACTCCAGGAAAACAAGCTCAGAGAATCAGGTTACAGTCAGTTCTCCCTCCTGATGCTGAAGTTTCCTTTTACAGCAGCTCCTTCAGTTGGTAATGAGAGCGTCCTGGCCAGCACTGCTGCCTGTGCTCGTTGGGAGGGGCTGACAGAGAGCTGCCCCATCCCTGGAGGTGTTGGAGGCCAGGTTGGATGGGGCCCTGGGCAGCCTGGGCTGCTGTGAAATGGGGAGGTTGGTGGCCCTGCGTGCCTCAGAGGGAAGGATCACGAAGCTCCATCAGGTCCCTTCCAGCCCAAGGCATTCTGTGATTCGGTGCGATTACCAGTAGCTACCGCAGTCGCCATGGATTGCAGCTCCCCATCTGGCTTCAGGTTCCTGCCTCACAAATCTGGTTCTATCCAGGGCTCGAGCATGCTGACAGAAGGCACCATCTGCGACACTCGGTAGCTGTCCATGCAGAACGCTGCTCAGCCCTGTAACACCTTCAGATCATCTCACTGCTCACAGCACAGGGCAGTACTGCTCAACAAGACACAGATTTGCTCACTGTGCATTTTAGCAACGTAACTCAGGCTCCTGACAGAGCCAGCAGCAGTAACACGGCACAGCTCCAGCCAGAACTCCTGTTAAGGCGGATGGCATCGCTGGTGCTATGACAGATTCCATTCAGGAATGAAGTCTGTGCACTTCTAATGCGAGGATTTTCTTCTGAGGATTTTAGTGCTACAGCTCCGGCCTTCTGGCAGAACAGCCATGCAGGACAGCCGAGGACTTTGCACAGCTCTCTGCTCACATCCTGATGAAATCCAATCAGCCCTTCAGAGGATGACAGTGACGTTCTATGATCACTGGAGGTTATGACATCTACCACATTCAACAGCTTCCTTTTCTTCTGCTCTGATATCAGACATCCCAGCTTGTGATCCATACCATGAACTGCCTGTCCTGCAAGCGGACTTCCTGGGTCCATCTTACCAGGCTGCTCCCAACAGACTCACTGTATGCCATAGCACAGGTAGGAAGGACTCCAGTATCTCCAGGTGCATTCCAGGCCATGCAGCCACTCCAGTTTTCTGTCCTTCTCTCTGGCTTCTTACCCATGCTGGGATGGCTTCTACCCAGAACTTGGAATTACTGAATGGAGCTTTGGGTGTTGTTCAAAGCTTCATTCACAACAGGATCACGCTCCTCATTAGCAGCTGTACCGTGGCCTTCTGCACAGAGACCAACTGCACTGTACAGCAGTGAGGAAATCCTTTGTTAGGAACACACCAGTGATCTGTTTAACACCAACACCACTTTCTGTGGCATCATGAAAATTCAGAGTCAAGACTGTAGTTGTAATCCCATTCAAATCCATCAAAAGAGATCACCAACACCTTGGGGAGGTCCTGCCTGCAGAGAGGAATCACAGAATCACGGAATGGCCAGGGTTGGAAGGGACCTCAAGGATCATGAAGCTCCAACCCCCCTGTGCCATGCAGGGCCACCAACCTCCCCATTTCACAGCAGCCCAGGCTGCCCAGGGCCCCATCCAACCTGGCCTTGAACACCTCCAGGGATGGACGGGGCATCACAGCCTCTCTGGGCAGCTGTTCCAGCATCTCACCACTCTCACAGCACACAACTTCTCCTGACATCCAACCTCCAGCTGCCCTCCCTCAACTCCAAACCATTTCCCCTTGTCCTGCTGCCATCTCCCCTTTCACAGAGTTGACTCCCCTCCTGTTTCAGGCTCCCTAGGGGCTGGAAGCAGTGAGCACTGGAATCACATGGCCAGGGCTCTGCAGGAGCAGCTCAGGGCTGTGCTGGGGCAGCCTGGCATCCGCAGAGGAAAGCTGGGTTTCATTGCGTTCACCTGCGTGACAAAGTCACAAGGATGAGCAGCTGCAGAATTCCTCACGTGCTGCTCCTGCTCGCCCTTCACACACAGGCCGTTCAGACACCGTAACACGCCGCCCTCCTTCCTGCGCTTCCACTCGCCCCCAGCACGCAGCCCTGCAGCGCTGACCCGCGCACCACACAGAGCGGCGTGCAGCTGAGCCCTGCAGCTCCGGGTGGACGGCAGAGCGCTGTGTGGGGAACTGCGGCTGCTCACAGCAATGTGGGACCATCGTGACGTGGTGCTCAGGGCCGTGATTGAGCAGAGGGCTGTTAGAGCTGGGGTGGGATGGTTGGGCTGTGGTTGGACTCCATCATCTTTAAGGTCTTTTCAACCTGAGCTGTTCTATGGTTCTATGATTCTATCAGCCGTCCAACACCACAGCATCCGTGTGCAGGGGCAGCAGCACGGATACAGACAGCAAACCGAGCGGCAGATCTGTCTGCGGGATGCACGAGGCAGCGAGCACAGAGCTGGACCTGGGGCGTCCGCTCCTGAGCTGGAAATCAGCTTCCGTTCCAACGCCGTGAGCCGAGGGTTTGAGCGTTCAGCGCCGCGACGAATCGCCGGAAGCCGTGCCGGGCAGCGCAGCGCTGGTGGGGCTGCTCCGAAAGTAACGCCTCGTGTCTTCTGACGTCGGATCACGGCGCCAGAGGCGGATGTTGGTGGGACGGGACGGGACGGGACGGGACGAACCTCTGCACTCCCGTTCTGCTCCGCGCCGCTGCCGTGAGACCGCCGCCACCTCTCCGTGACCCGCTGAGTTTGCGGCGGCCCCGCCTCCTCTGCTCCCAGTGGACAGCGGCGCTGTCAATCAAAACTAGGTGCCCGGGGGGGGGGGAGCGCCCTCTGCCGGCACTGGGAGCCGCGTAGGCGCCGCGAAACGCGCACACGTTCTGAGCTCAGCCATGCAGTGTGAGGTTCTGAGTGCAGGGACCTGACCCCAGGAGCTGCAGGGAACCATGCAGTCGGGGGGGCTGGAGAAGCCTTCTGCGATGCGCAGCCCACCCCCCTGCCCTCTGACTGCAACCTCCGCGTTTCTGGAACACCTCTGAGGACGGTGACCCCATCACTGCCCTGAAAGGAGTGAGAAGAAAACCCGTCTGTAACATCACAGCTGTACCTGTGCAGGTCGGGCCTCCCCACGGCACAACGCGGCCGTTAGGGGCAGTCTGCGGGCACGCTGCCAGCCGGGCTGGCTGGGAGCTCCCGGTGAGGATCACACACGGGATGAAGAATTGCTAATTCCACCCAGATGCTGAATGCTGTAATGGTTTCACTGAAGTACAGCGCTGATGTGAGGTTCGTACAAATCACGTGGTTGAAAATAGCACTCATTTGTAATGTATGCAGATTTGTCACATCTGGAGAACAGGAGCCGTGCGTGGGGCACGCAGCAGCACACAGCACTGCAGGACCCGTCACTGAGCAGAGCCTCACGGCCTCAGCTCTATGGACAACATTCCTTGCAGCTGAGAACTGCTGCGTGGATCCCAGAAGATGCGCTAAATCAAGAACAGCCCCATTTTGGTGGGCTCTGCTCGTTTGCTTGTTCTCCTTGCGAGCACGTTGCAGTGCTGCTGTAGGGGCTGCCCTCTGACAGCGGTGCAGCCGTGGCGCGTCCCAGAGCTTAGGACAAGGCTCTGTGGCTGCAGGGCAGGCAGCAGCAGCGCAGTGCCGCACCGGAGGGGATGCTGCTGGCTGCCATTGTGCAGTGCCTGGCAGCAGGGAGCTGCACACCACCCCCAGCACCCAGCACGAAGCCGGTCTGTTGGCCCGCACCCGGTGTGTGCTGCACCCCTGCACATCCACACAGTGCTGCCCTGCGGCCCACGTGGCTCCTGCTACAAAGCTGTAAAGCTGCAGGCTGGGCGCACAGCAGGAAAACCCTCGCAGTGCAGAGCTGAGTGACCGCCACGAGATGGAACACGGGACACCGACACTGCAAACACAGCCTGCTTCCAGTGCCTGGAGGCGCAGCACCAGTTGATGCAAGGCACCACCAACAGCTGCTTTCCATCTGTCACAAGGAACAGAACCTTTTCCCGGACGTTTCCTCTGCTGCTTTCCGCCACACCGGCACAAACAACACAACGACCATCGTTTGCCATATTTATTTTTTTTTAAACTAAGCTCTGAATTATACAAGTGTAAAAGTGGTTAATTCGCCCATAGCTTTTTCACACTCCTATAAAATATGACTAAATAGAATATCTCCAAAGTATGTACAGTATGATGGCAAAGCTGTCGTGCTCCGTCCCGGCGCTGTGCTCGGCCCTGCAGCTCAGCAGCGCTGTGCACAGAACAAGCAGTCATTTGGCAGAAGGTCCTTTCCTGCTGCTGGGGGACACCAGGCCAAAAACACCTTCCATCTGCGCCACGTGCGAGCTGTGTTAGGGCTGGTCTGCAGTGCCATAAAGCACTTTGCAGTGACTGTGTCTCTACTCTCATTACAGGAAGGGATGCTCTTGCTGTGTTTTCTTGCTGAAAATAATCACAGAACCACAGCATGGCCTGGGTTGCAAAGGCCCACAGCGCTCCTCCAGTCCCAACCCCTGCTGTGTGCAGGTTGCCAACCAGCAGCCCAGGCTGCCCAGAGCCACATCCAGCCCAGAAGCTGGATGTGTATGCAAGGGTGTACACCTACACTGACAAGAGGGGGCTGCTTTAGCTTAAATACAAAAATCAAGGCCACAGAAATTCTCCATTCTTTTGACTTGAAGAAAAGCAGACTGCAAGATGCTGCCTCCCCCCGTGCTGTAGCAGTGCCGGCAGCAGCTCGCAGTGCTCGCAGGCAGCAGAGGGCCCCAGCGCACTGCACCAGGCTCAGGCTGTGCCACAGAGCAGCAGCAGCTCCTACAGATTCCCTTCTTGTTTGTAACGCTGCCCTGGTGGCGTTCCCTAACACCTGCACAGCTGATCCCTGCTGACCAGGTGGATGTGGGACAGATGCTGAGCACACTTACATCAGGCATGTAACTGCATTTCTCCTTCCGGGTTTTAATGAACAGAACTGCGTTCCACCCTGTCCTGGGTGAGCACTTCAGAGCTGACCAAGAGCTGCCACTGCGCTGGAGCTGCTCCCACAGCTGTCTGCACACGCACTTCCAGGAAAGATTGCTCAGACCCAAATCAGGACAGATTTCTGTCATTGGAGGCCAAATTCCATCGTTCACAACCAAATCTCTCCCAGCTCTGGGTACATGGATGTCACGACTAAATTCAGCCTCCGACATTTTCAGATGTAAAAACTTGAATTATCAGCTCTGGAGCAGATCCCTGATCACTGACTGATTGCTGAGGACGCAGACATGCCTTAGTTCAGCAGAGATGGAATTGTTTTCTTCAGAGTGCCAGATACGATGCTGTGTTTTGGTTCTAGGAGATGCTGGCAGCACCCCGATGGTCACAGCTGCTGCTAACGGCGCTGCACAGAGCTGAGGCTGTCCACAGCAGAGCCCAAAGAGCAGGGAGGGAACAGAGCGAGGACAGCTGACTTACAGTGGCCACAGGGTATTTCATCCCATGACACCACGTGGAAGGAGTTTGGAAGAGGGTGGGAGCTCATCTCGCTCTCCTGCACTGCTGGGCACAAGCTGGGCATCGCTGGGGTGGTGACAATTCTGCTGCACCAGCTGTTACATGCACTCCTCTGTACATACAGTCGTAACTGTTTGCCTTTGCTCTACCTTTATCTCAGCCCACGAGTTGTGCTTGGTTTGTGTTCCCCATTCTCTCCCCATTCCACAGGGAAGGGAACGAGGGAATGAGCGCATGGTGCTGAGCCACAGCTGGGGCAAGGCAAGAGAGGCCACAGATCCCTTCCACACAGCATGCATTGCCAGCAAACCTCCCTGTTTTTGTTGGTATTGAACCAGAGGAGGTCCGAAATCTGTACGCTCTCATAACAGTGTTGTTCCTCCTGAAATGTCGCAGGTGGCCTCTGGTGGTACGTTCAATAGGAACAGCAGACGGGAGTCCCAGGGCAGCAAGTAACAATTATTGATTTCAATCAACTAAATGAATAATTGGCCTCTGAAGAGTCACTTGGAGACAACTTCACTGACATGGAGACACGAACGCCCCGTCTTCGTCCAGGCTCTGCATTCAGCGTGCTTCTCTGAGTGCCGCACACACGATGATGTCACAGAGTACTGACAGTCACCACATTAGAGATACAGACACGATAAGCACTAATTGCAACAGGAACATCGAGGAGCTGTGGTGGTCAGAGGATAAAGTGATGAGGATGGTGAATCCTTCCTTCCGAAGCCGCCCTCTCCACGCAGTGAGGCCGACAGCACGAGCTGCCCTTCAGCCCGGCGGAGCTGCGAGCACAGGGCAGAGCCTTGGTGCAGCCTGAAGGCTCTGTGCGAACTCGGGGTGGGATGGAGCCCTCCCTTGTGAAGCTGAACGTTTGGTGCTAGAGAAGAAGCCTGACTGCACGGCCTGAGCTGACTTTTCAGCCCCTGGGATGAGCTTCCAAGATCCGAACGCTTATTTTGAAGGCTTTTAAACCACTGCGCCGTTCTGTAGTCATTCTGGGGAGTACAGCTGCAGCTCATCAGCTCAAAAATCCCACTGCATCTCACACGTGGGCTCGATTTTCTGCAGTATTAATTCCAGTGGAACTACTCATGTGCATAAATTAAGCGCATGCTTAAGTATATGCAAAATCTGAGCTCAGATGGCTACAAAATATCTTCTCAACATGACAAATACACACGAAAAAAGCCATCATGGGAGGTGCAGCAGACAGGGAGCCCAGCATCTGCCTGCTGTCAGCCACGGTGGCACACAGAACAGTTTCTGTAACCCAGGATACATTGCAAGTGAAAGAAACATGCGGGACAGAGTGAAAAAAGGGAACTCGGTTGCATGCAGTCTAATTTCAAGTGTGTCATTATGGTCCTGTTTTCTTTGGCCTAAAAAAAATAAAGTAAGAAAAACCCAACAAAAAAACACCAATGTCTCCTCACCTCCACAAACCAAACCGCATACAGCTCAAGGAGGGCTTTAAAGGGGGAGAAGGGGGTGAAAAGAACTGGATCTTAGGCATGTAATCAGTGAGATTCAGGCCCAACACACGGCCAGGAAAGCATTCAGCCTCCATCACTGCTGGAGCTTACAGCAGCGGAGCAGCCAGGCTCCTCGACCTCAGAGAGCAGCACCACTCCTGCCTTTATGGAACACAGAGTGACAGTCCCTCCTGCTCCTCGCACACAGGCAGGCAATGCTTCTGCTCGCTGCTGCCCGTCCCCTCAGCCAGGGCTCAGCTCACAGTGCTGCTGAAGAGGGCATTTTCCTGTTGTTTCCTAAAAAGCCTGCAGGAATGGCATTCCTTACAGAAAATTCCAGAGGGGTGACGAGGCCACCAAGCTGCGAGGAGATTAAAAACAACGCACACCTTCCCCTTGGAGACAAGGAGGAAAGGAAAAGACCGAGGTCTGCAGGGAACCGAGGGCAGAAAAGAGGCTCCTTGACGAAGGGCACAGCAAGCGTTCCGGGCATTTGCATCCTAAGCCTATCAGCCTCATCACCCACCGCGCAGGATCCCTCTGGTGGTGTTTCAGCATGCAAATTACAGCTGTGCAAAACCTCAGCCTGAAACCTTCCCTGCTTCAGCCTTGCTTTGTCCTTCCCAGCAAATCTATTAGTCGGTGTGTGATATGGTTACATATTACAAAGATCTTTTTTTTTTTTCCCTAGCCCTTTTGTTACACAGGCTTGATTACTGCACAGGGATTTTAAGCTTATTGTCCTGGTACTCAAAAGGCAACGTCTGCCTTCGAAAATGAAAAGAAGAAAAGAAAAAGAAAGCAAACAAAAAACCCAAGAGCTGTGCTGGAGGAGAGAAGGGCCGCTGCTGCCGGGGGGCTCAGTTAGATACAGGAGGTGGAAGGCCAGGGCGCCGAGTTTGAATGATTTTTGGCTTTGGAGAATTCTTTGGGTCCTCATCTTCTTCCATGTCACTGTCACAGACGTGCACTACCACGCTGGGGGTGGATTCTGTTCCTGCATGTAGCTCGTATTTCTCTCCTGGAAGCAGAGAAAAAAAGTTAGATGGGAGGAAAGCTCCAAAGCAGTGGAACCTCATCTCTGGAGGATTTCAAGACAAGGGGAGACGTGGCACAGAGGGACACAGTGCGGATGGGCTGGGTTGGACTGGATGATGGAGATGACCCTGAGCAGAAATACAGACTGGAGGAGCAGACCTTGAGAGCAGCCCTGCAGAGAAGGACCTGGGGGTCCTGATGGGTGAAAAGCTGAACATGAGCCAGCAGTGTGCATTGCAGCTCAGAAAGCAAATGGGATCCTGGGCTCCATCAGCAGGGACAGGGAGGTGATCGTCCCCCTCTGCTCTGCTCTCGTGAGGCCCCATCTGCAGCACTGCGTCCAGGGCTGGGGGCTTCAGTACAAGAAAGACAGGGAGCTGTTGATGAGGGTCCAGAGGAGCCACAGAGATGAGCAAGGGACTGGCAGCCTTCCAGTACCTAAAGGGAGCCTGCAGACAGGAGGGGAGTCAGCTCTTGGAAAGGGGAGATGGCAGCAGGACAAGGGGAAATGGTTTGGAGTTGAGGGAGGGCAGATGGAGGTTGGATGTCAGGGGAAGTTGTGTGCTGTGAGAGTGGTGAGGTGCTGGAACAGCTGCCCAGAGAGGCTGTGATGCCCCGTCCATCCCTGGAGGTGTTGGAGGCCAGGTTGGATGGGGCCCTGGGCAGCCTGGGCTGCTGTGAAAGGGGGAGGTTGGTGGCCCTGCATGGCACAGGGGGGTTGGAGCTTCGTGATCCTTGAGGTCCCTTCCAACCCAAACCACTCTGTGACTCTGTGATTCTATGATCTTAGTGGTCTTCTCCCACCTTTCATCATTCTGTGACTCCAAAGCCACTGCACACTGCATGCCAAATGCTCCAAGAGGAAGGTGAGGCCCCACTATCACTAGCTGACCTGCACTCAGGTGCAGTGCTCCTAAATACCTGCATACCTAAATGCAGCACAACTGGCTGTGCTCAGTGTTGTACATGAGAAGAGAGATAGCAGTCCCTACCTCAAAGCACCCATCACTTGCTCGCGTTCTTCATTTGGACTTGTATTTATTCCAGCTTAGTGCAGAGCAGTTCATGTTAGGAAGGTGGTGTGGGTTTGGTCCTGCACTGGCACACGCAGTTCTGGGTCTGTCATCACAAGCTATTTGTGCTGAAAAGTTCTCAGTCCAAATAAAACTTGGCTGGCTTGGGACTAGAGGACATGCTGCATTTTTGCCTAAAAAACAGAAGGCAGCTACCGAGTAATGGCTACAAGTCTGACATCTTGCTGTGAGAAATATTTCACTGCTGTGATACCATTAATGTTGACATTTAACTGCTCTATTTTTGGCAGCCTTTCCTCTGAATCCAAATTGAGCAAAGCATTACAGGTCTTGCTGATAGGCTAAAATATAAAAAGAGAAATAGCTCGGTTATGCTGCGCCGAGAAATTATATGGCTTTTCTCTGCCTATTTTCCCTGCGGGCTTCAGCTAATTTCTCAGCTCTGGGCTGACGTCAATGCTGCCAACCTGCACTGAAGGCCACATTGGTCATTGTCAGCTCCCAGCAGCTCTGCAGGGCTGTGCACACACAGCACCGGGCCTCTCCTGCACCAACACCACCAAGGAAATCAGATTCACTGCCCTCTGCAAAGGTAATCATCCCAGTTCAAATGCCACGTTCTTTTACTGCTCAAACCCTTCCCTGCAGGGCTCTATGTGCTGAAAAGGAGCAGTGGAAATAAGCACAGACACGAGGAAAATTATTCAGATGCCTCTGGCACAAGTCACTGCAACAGCAATTAATGTCACTTTGCTAATCAAAATGTGATGCACTCACAAATTGGGTTGTAAGGCACGCAGTTATTTCTGAGCACAAATGAGGTGCGCACTCAGTTCTGTACTCACAGTTATTTGTGCCTGCAGAACTGTGGCTCAAAATGCAGAAAACCTTCCTACGGCTGAGGTGGGAACAGGGCAGGAGCAAAAGGGACTCATATGGAGTTGTCCCTTGTAAACCTAAGTGCTGGCTGCAGAAAAACACTCAGCTAATGAATACAAAACACAAATTCAATAGACACGGCCAGGTTATCCCGTTGGTTGTGATTATTTCTTTAACACCACCTCCAGCATTAAAAACTTACCTAAATCCACAGCAGCTAAGTTGGCAGAGGAATGCCTGAATCACTGCAATCAACTCAGCCTTATGAGATATGGGCTTTCCCAGCTAAGGGCAGAAGATGGGTCAAGCAAAAGGTGACCTTGCTCTGATGATGCATCTCTCATCTAACGAGGCTCTTTTGTCCAGCAAAGAGAATGTTCATATACTTAATTAATCATGAAGAAAAGGTAATGATGTCGTGCAGCTAACTCTTCCCTGATTCTGCCACGCAGTCAGAGGTTAATGGGTTCAGAGCTGTGCTCTCCACGTTCAATGTCATTAGCATCAATAAAGTACCCTCCATGTGTAGCCCTCCCATCCGTGTGCTGTACAAATAGCACGGGGTGGGCAGCAGAGAAGCGATATCCCATGCCTTGTGAGCCCTCCCCAGGGAGGAGGAGCTGCTCTCTCGGATTGCCACTGATGGCAGGAGCAGCCTGTCCCTCTGCTGGCAGAGTGCTTTCTGCACGGTCAGTGCAGCAGCTCTCGTACTCTGCCCCTGGCAAGGGGAGCGAAGGGCAGCATGAGCCACAGAACGGAGCACAGAGGGTGGACAGAGCTGGAAAATATTCCGTATCACCCATCTGCCTGCCCCTCCACCTCCTCTGAATCCCACCTGGAAGCTCTAGGAAGTGTTCTGCCTGGAAATACCTGGGTGGGTGGTGTGCAGGTCCACGTGAGGCAGCTCTGGGCAAGGCTTCCTGCTCTTTGCTGCCCCTCTGAAGCAAAGAGCACAGAGCAGTGCAGGAGCTATCACCTGTAACCCTTCAGAACACACACAGAGGAACCTTCATCTCTGGCTGTGTTTTTTGCACGAGTGTTTGCTTGAGGGCATTCAGGAGGGGCAGAGCCTGCTGGGATACCAATGGAGACTGGGAAATGTGGAGAGAACCAAAGCTGGTACCAGCTTGTCTGTAAGGGCTACTGGAGACAGTGCCTGGCCTGCACTGGCTTTCAGATGGGAACTGAGACTCTGAGGATGAGTGCTTACAGAAGGCAGGAGGGAGCACAGGGAGCAGTTCAGTACATCAGACTGCAGGAGGCAAGGGGAGGCTGCTCCATGCTGTGCTGCAAAAAGCCAGGCAGGGCGGTTGGTGGGAAGGGGACAGGTCTGATTTGAGGAGGAAGGCACAAAACGGAAGATCCACGTGGTTGTAGTTTGAGATACAAAGGCTGAGCTGCAGGGAGAAGCAGCACAGGCTGTGGAGAATCTGGGGTAACAGATTTGATGGAAGCCAAACAGCAGCAGTGGGGAAAGGAAGAAAGAAATATGCACATTGGGAGAGGGCAGGGATGGGGGTAGCACTGCTCCCCTGAGAGGAAGGACTAACTGCAGTGCCAGGAAGGTGGCTTCTAAACCACTGCACACCAAAGGGCAGAGCAAACCTAGAGGCCTTTTGTCCTTGAGGAGAAACTCTGGAATATGCACTGCCCTGAAGACAGTTTTGCCTTCTTGCAAATAGTTCTCCTATAAAATTACTTCCTGTATTCCTCACTGGGATGTCACTACTCCTTGTTAAAACTAGCCAGTACACAAAGGCCTAAATTAGCCAGCAGCTTGATGGGTTGCAAGTGCTCCTGAAGGAAAGAGCTGGGCCTGGAGAGCCATCAGCCAGCCACACCCCCAGGTCAGAGCACCATCTTTGCATCATCAGTGTTAACCTACTGGAAATTCTCTCAACAGTGGAAGTGTTTTCATCAGAGATTAATGATCCCACTTCTTTATTTTTTACGTATGTCATGATTCCTCTGTACTGACGAAGTTGTAGGCTAGCAGTCACAACCAGGCACAGAGAAGGTTCCCACCTCACTGTCTGAGCTGCTGCATTCTGTTTGTATCTCCTTCAAAGTTCTCACTACATCTGCAGAAAGTGAAAAAATACATGAATCAACCAGAAACTAAATAAACGTGCTGAGATCTTCCCTAAGAACTGAGTGCACCCTCACTGAGCTCAGTGTAATGCAGGAAGAACAAAATCCAGCTTCCTAGGTGTGTAGGAAAAAGAAGTCCATCAGCCCAGTGAAGATGCTAGGAAGGCATTGCTGCAGCCACAGCCACTGCATAGAAGCACCTGTCCCCAGATGGAGCCTGGACAATAACAACACACAGCCAATTTGCTAACTGATTTCTTAGCTACTCATTTCACCCTGGAGTGAATCTCTCCGTGTGTACATGAGGATGGTTCGAGTCCATCATGGCAGAGTGCTGGGAAAGGAGATGACATGTGCATGTGGAAGGGGCAGGGCTGCGGGGGCTGGGCTCCCAGTGCTGTGTCTTACTTTCCCAGCAAGGTAAGCAAGCATGACTCACATGCACATAAAGGCACATAAAGAATCACAGAATCACAGAATGGTTTGGGTTGGAAGGGACCTCAAGGATCACGAAGCTCCAACCCCCCTGTGCCATGCAGGGCCACCAACCTCCCCATTTCACAGCAGCCCAGGCTGCCCAGGGCCCCATCCAACCTGGCCTTGAACACCTCCAGGGATGGACGGGGCATCACAGCCTCTCTGGGCAGCTGTTCCAGCACCTCTCCGCTCTCACAGCACCCAACTTCCCCTGACATCCAACCTCCATCTGCCCTCCCTCAACTCCAAACCATTTCCCCTTGTCCTGCTGCCATCTCCCCTTTCACAGAGCTGACTCCCCTCCTGTCTGCAGGCTCCCTTTAGGTACTGCAGGCTGCACTGAGGTCACCCCGCAGCTTCTCTTCTCCATGCTGAACAAGCCCAGCTCCCTCAGCCTGTCTTTGCAGTGGAGGTGCTGCAGCCCCCTGCTCATCTCTGTGGCTCCTCTGGACCCTCTCCAACATCTCCCTGTCTTTCTTGTACTGGGGGCTCCAGCCCTGGACGCAGTGCTGCAGATGGGGCCTCACAAGAGCAGAGCAGAGAGGGACGATCACCTCCCTGTCCCTGCTGGCCACCCCTCTGCTGATGGAGCCCATGATACCATTTGCTTTCCAATCTGCAAGAGCGCACAGCTGGAAGCTGTTCATTGTTTACATGCTTAATTGAGTTTTTCTGGTCCTCAGGTATTCATTTTTACCAAATCATAGGATCATAGAATCCCAGCATGGCCTGGGTTGCAAAGGCCCACAGCGCTCCTCCAGTCCCAACCCCCAGCTGTGTGCAGGTCGCCAACCAGCAGCCCAGGCTGCACACAAATCAGTGTATTTAAATCAGTGTCGTTAAGTTAATATTCCTCACAAGTCAGAGTCACCGAATTCTGGCTCTGGCTCATACAAACACTGAGCCCTTTTTGCTGGGTAAGGCGTAGTTACACTTTTCATTGTGCTGCTGGAATGAGAGCTAACTGTAAGCACAGTGAGGAGCACAGCACTGCCTGCTGCACAGCAGCCAGCTCCAGCGATGGGATCCTGAACAAAGCTTTGCTGGGATTTGTTTTTCAGTGAAATCCTCAACATAGTAACACACAGCTGAGACCTGCAGTGCTATTTTAGAGCCACCACTGCAGTTAACAAGAATCGATCTCTCTCCCGAGTGCTAAAAATAGGAAGAAGAGCACACAGTGACTTCTGCTGCTGCTCCCTGCAGGCTCCTTCAATAAGGCTGGATCTGACCTTCACGCAGAGGGTGGAGCAATGAGGGATATTTCACATCCCACTGTGCAGAACAGGGATTGATTTATTGTCCAGATAACGAGGGAATTCGTTTTCATGTTTCTATTTATAACACTGCTGCATCAAAGGAAAAAAAGGAGATCTTGTTTTCCTTTTGTTCAGCAGTTTAGTAGCAGAGCATCAATTCTGGGAGTAATTATCTGCCACGCAGGACTAAGAGTGAGACCTGACGCCCTTGTCAGTGGTCTCCCAGCCAAAAGGAAGTAAAATGCAGGAATCTTCCCTTGGACAAATGCTGTCCCCTTGGGAGAGATCCCACGGGAGAATAAAGCCAGGTGGTCCCACAAACCTACTGACCCAGAAGCAGCTGCCTGCACCCACAGCCCTGGCACACTGGCAGCCAGGCAGTAACACTGAGCACAGGGACGAGGTGCCTGCAGCGGGTGGCTGCTCTCACAGCAAGGCAGCAGCAGCAGTAGAGCTGCAAGGACAACTCCCATATCCCGTAAGGATTTCAAAAGTGAACTCTGCTGAATTTTCATGAGCTCTCCTCCCCAGCCCGCCAAAACTGTTATTGGATTTGATACAAAGTGCACTGGCACGGGCTGCCAAGGAGGGGGTGGGTCACCAACCCTGGAGGTGCTCCAGAGCCTGTAGATGTGGCACTGAGGGACGTGGGTTGGTGGAAGGATCGGTGGGAGGAGGATGGTTGGGCTGGATGACCTTGGAGGTGGTTTCCGACCTTGGTGACTGTATGGTTCTGTTCTAATTCCACATGAGGATAATTCAACATGCCATTTTTCCTTATAGGTTATGAATGTAAATTAGACTAATTTTAAATGGTATTTCTTAGGGCTGGAACTTGAACATTTTCCATTTTAAGAACTGTAAAAGGGATGCTCTAACAGCAGTCAAAGAAAGCTCTCCATAAATACATGGTAATTTAATTGAAAAGTAAATATCTGCTAAATGAAAAGTTTAAGCTTCACCAGATAAGCATTTTCTAAAGGCAAAGCACCTTTCAAAGATCCCAACCAGCTTCACACCTTATCAGCTGGTGAAGATGGGAAGACAGAATAAATCTGTCTGCATTGTCCATTCTTACCTATTTCACTTTTTAGAGACTACAGCTAAATCCCATTCCTTCTGCATAACATTTTCAATAGAAAACGAGCAGTCCCAGCAGAGCAGTCCTGCAGGGACGGGGCAATGGTGGTCCTCTGTCATCAAACTTGTTAACTGAGACGTTCTCCCCTCTGTTGGCCGTGCAGTGATGCCTAAATCATTGAAGGACTGCATCTTGGAAAGCACTGCTGAGCAAGTGTGATTTAAAGCAAATGCTCTTTAGGTTCACAGACAAGCATTTGTCCAACCCCTGCACAAACCATCAGCTGTCTCATCTAAACATAAAAGCAAGCACAAGGATAAACTGCGAGCAAGCTTCCATCTGCTATTCAAACAACACGTTAAGCAAAGAACCAGTTGCCACGAATCAGCTTAACTCCAAAGCTGTAACGCGACTTGCAGCCTTTACCCCAACTGCCTCTAGTTATTCTCTATGCTGCCATTTCTCATTTGCTTTTCCCAACAGATTTTCACCCAAGGACCACAGGCTTACCTGGTCCTAGCTTAGAAACTGCATAGAGGAGGTCGTAGTTGATGACAGGTGTTGCATCGTCTATGGGCTGCCACCCTACAGGTGGGGAGGCTGGAGGCGAGATGAGAAACTGTTTTGCAGGCTGTGGCGGAGCCAAATGAAGCTTGTCTCCATCTGTCTCAGAGGTCTGAATCTTTAAAGCATAACAAATACACTGTTTAGTTTAGGATGGGGAAATGGAACGATTACTCAAACCATACACTTCCAATCCCAAGTGCCACCCAGGCGGGGTTTCAGCAGACCAGGCCTGCAGGGATCTGCTCTCACCCTACAGGCGGCTCCCTGCGGTACACAGGCTGTGGGGGGCTGTTATGTGAGCAGGGCTGCACTGTTTGTGCCTCCTGTATGTGTCCTCTGAGGATAAGGGCAAAGCTTTTTCTGTTTCCACAGCTGCTAAGTTCAGAGAGTCGTGAACTCAATAGATATTGTTGAGCTGTGCTGGTTTAAGGTCCTAACTAAGAGCAGATATAGATTAGAAACCACCCATTCCTGCACCGAGGCCTTGTCAGTAAGTTCAGAAGCCTTTCTGAAGATTTGGTACATGGAGATGCAGTGAGAAAGGAGTCCATCGTGTTCCTTAGTCGTTTGCAAATCATTACACTCATTTTACTTCCATCCACCTTAAATTATCTAGTTTGATTCTTGCTTTCCTTTGGGGGTGTTATTAAAGAAGCTTTGGCATAAATGAATTACGCCACAGCTGCAGCCATAGCTGAGCAACTTCATAACCAACTCAGCAGCAATACTCTGGATTCACATGAAAGCAAGTTCAAGATGAACACCCTGCTACATGTGAATGGATTCTGTGCTGCTCCACTCCACGCTCCCCAGTACTTGTAGTTCTGGCAGTGCTTATTTGTTCTGGCTCAGCTCCATACAGACACTGTGCTGCTTCCACTTATTCATTCCCTGGACACAGCTACTAAGCTCTGAGCTCACAAGCACTGGAGAACATAGAGAAGATACCCAAGTGGCTTCGCAGGAAAGCAGTTTAGGCATGGAGAGTAATCACTATCATGCATGATTTTGTTTTTCTGGAGTTATCTTCCTATTAACCTCTTGATCGTCCAGTTGGAGTGAAATAACTCCAGCCTGCCTACCAGCAGGTTTCAAAATCTTTCTGAAATAAATTCTGAGCCACATCTAGGAGATTAAGGCATGTAAAAGGGGATTGAGGAAGATTTTCAACACCTAAATCCAACTGTAAGATCTTCTGAACTCACCTAACCTGCTGAGAACATTGGGCTTTTTACAGCTGTAGTTTCCCACCTTCCTAACAAAGTTCTGCTTCAGGCAAGGCTCAGACCAGCACTTACCCTGCCTCAGTTGTAAAGATTCAGGATTTATCTGCCTCTTAGTTTTGATGAAGATCTTCAGAACAGATCCTAGAAGCTCTAAAGCCCTAACCTGGCATCTCGAAGCACACATCGTTACTTCTAGGCACTAATCAGTATCCCACAAATCACAGAGGCCATGCTTTTTCTTAACATATGTTTAGAAGAGATTCTCAGCTCAGCATTCTCAACCTCCCTCACCCTTCTGTGCCCAGCTGGGAGATCTGGGCTCCTCTCCCTTGTCCAAGAAGAACGGAACCTTCCCCTCCCCCTTGCATTAGATGGATCCAATCATGTCCCCAGGCCGGGACATGGCTCTGCTCCCTTCCTTCTCCCTATCACTTGAAATTAAGGAGGTTTTTATTTTGTTGTAGGATTGGGTGGGTTTTTTTTTGTTGCTGGGTTGTTTTGTTTGTTTGTTTTTAACAAAAATTCACATTCATTCAGTCAGACTTTCCGCTTCTTACTTCTGCCTAACTGTGGCTCAAGGTTCTGCTCTTTGGACCTACTTCTTTCATGAACCATTCCCACTTCTGGCTTTTTATGGTTAGGGTGTCACCCACAGCATCAAATGCTGTATATCACTTCTGAGCTGTGGCACTGTGCACTGAATGAGCAACCTGTCCCAAGTGATCCTTTCAGTTAACTGCAGACCAACTGGGCAGGCACAGCTCAGGCAACACGACGACGTTTGAGTAATGCTTTAGCAGAAATACTGGGCAAGGGAGAAACATCTCTTGTTTTGATTCAGCTTTATTGGACAGTATTTCTATAAGGGCCACACACTCACACAGAAGTGGACAGATTTCGTTACCTGCGCGAAATACAACTTTAACTTCTTTCCTCTGAACTGTGTTTCATGCAGCTCTATTCTGGCACGAGCAGCTGATTTGGGACTACTAAAATTTATCCGCACGCGTCTGAAGCTCTTAAACAGCTGGAATGTCACACAGTCGTCGTAGGCACGGAACAGGCCTTCAAATTTTTCCTGCGAATGAAAAAGAAATAATGCTGAATGTGAAGTTTGTGCTGGGTGCCATCAGTCTGTGTTAAACCACGAGCTGGAACTCGGTGACAGCTGCTCAGTCGGTGCAGCCGTGCTCCTGGGGGGTGGCTGCCCAGCGAGGAGTAAAGGCTGCCGCAAGAAGAAGCTACAGAAAACACCGGTCTGAAAGTGACAAAATCTGGAAAACACTGGGGGAAGGAGGCTTCAAATGGAGAGCCCACCAGTAAGTAAACCTCTCGTGAGTGTTGAGCAAAACTGATAGCACAGCGACTGCCCAAACAGAGCTGCAGCGGGCATCCAAGTGGAAGAGCCAGGCCATGCGAGCTCATGGGGACAAAAGCAGACATTGAGCTGAATAACAGCAGGGTCAGCAGACAAAGTCAGCCCTGCTGTAACCGAGGGTTACTTCCAAATCTCTGCTGCTGGCACTGTGTATCATAGAGCCATAGAATGAACCGGGTTGCAAGGGACCTCAAGGATCACGAAGCTCCAACCCCCCTGTGCCATGCAGGGCCACCAACCTCCCCATTTCACAGCAGCCCAGGCTGCCCAGGGCCCCATCCAACCTGGCCTTGAACACCTCCAGGGATGGACGGGGCATCACAGCCTCTCTGGGTGCATTATGCTCTACTGGATGTTGTGTCATTCAGCTCCTTGGAGCACAGATACACCTATTCCTCAGGAGTCACTGTAGCAGCAAGAAAAATATTTATGTAACTGAAAATAGTGACCTGCTGTAGGGGCCAACTTCAGGCTTAAAAATGTTTAGCTCAGAACAGCGTGTTCAAAAGCACCTGATATAAATATGAAGATTTTAGCATTGCACAGGGAGGTCTGAGATGGGTAGAACTAGAAATGAGCAGAAAACTCAATTTATGTCATCTGATCAATACTGTTCTCATCTGTTAATCCTCCAAGCAGGACCAAGAGCCCAAAATGCGTTAGTAAGATAAACCTGGAGCTGTGAAGCTGTAGCTGGGATGCTAACAGAGCAGTGGGAGCCCCATGTCAGCACAGTATGCTGGCTGAGGAGTTAACCAGGAGAGCAGATCACAGCAAGGAGCATGGAACTGATGTGCATGTACCAGATCTCCTCTCATTCACTGCCAGCTCTGTGGTCTTCTTCCCCAGAGCTGATATTCCATCCCTGGCATCCCTTCAAAAGAAGCTCCCCGTGGTCTATTAAGCTTTCATGATTTTCATTTCATTTTGCCTGACCTCCCTCACCTCTTCCTCTCACCACAGAGGATAGCTGGGAGGAAACAGCGCTCGGTGGTTTGGCTGAGGGTGAATAAAGGCACACAGAAATGCCACAGCTGATAGGTTTGCACAAGCAGTCTAGTCCTATCTCCCGCCATTCAAACCGCCACCACGTCACACCTTGGTTTCCCATGGGTTGTTTTGCTGCTTTTTTCTTACATTTTTACACAATTCAATTTCCCTGAAGTCTATTTTGAGTGGCATTTGTCTCAAGGTCAGCCCAGAGCAGCAGCCCTCAGCCCTGCCATGCTGGGAGTTTTGGTCACAAAGGTGAAGGAGCCAGGTACAGGGGACCAATGTGTGCAGAAGCCTGCACAGCTCTGCATCATCTATGTAATTAGTAGCAGTGAGAAGCTAATTAAAGCTTCCATCTGAAAGCTGCCTATTCTGTCTGTTTCAGCCTTCTGAAGCAGTGTTGGTTTTACAGCACCTTAAAGGAAACAAACACATATGCACACACACACAGGAGACAATCAGTGCACTACAACAGCAGTCCCACTGGCTACAAGTAAGCAGCAAGGAGAACACTTCCTAGCCCCCTGCAGCAGCTGAACCACAGGTCAACAATGTTAAACCACTGCAAAGACTAGGGAAGTATCTCTCCATTGCAATTGAGCATGAAGTAGGAGAACTATTTTCCCTTTACCAGCACAGCAGTGTTTCCTTGCCCTGGACAGCCAGCCCACGGTGGGGTGGGTTTCCATGGTCTCAAATGTGGTTCCAAGAGCAGTGAGCAGAGCCAACGTTCTGGGCACAACATTCTGAACAATACTGAGATCCATTCTCGTTAGGCACCAGGAGGGACAGATGGGAGTACCTCCAAATCAAGCTGATGAAGGACCAGACACCAAGCATAACAGTGGGAGAACACTTAAGGCACTGTGGACTTGGTTCTGCTGGCTTTTCAGTGCGATACTGCTGCAGCTTTAGAGACCTCACTTTGATTAACAGGCCCAAAAGACACCAGGGGGGAGGAGGGAGTCAAGCCCTCAATTTCCAATTAACACAAAGCAGCCTACCCACAGTGCAGGCACATCTCCTGCCCCCACTGAAACTGCACAGCACATTAAAAAGATCCCTAGTCTGAGGTTTTTGCACATTTTCAGCTGATAATAATAATGACCTCAGCAGAGGTCATTAATCATCAGTGGCAGCTAATGGGCCTCAGCTGCATCTTGAGCCATCCCAGCTCCTCCCAGCTTGATATTAATTCCCAGGAAATGTCTTATGCCTTAATTGCTATGGGCTGTGACTTCTAATATCTGCTCAGGGAACTTATTTGGACAAAAGTCTTTCAGAGCCATCCTGATCTATAAGAAAATGTGCTTTCAAGACTTAAGCAAACTCTCTCCCTTTCAAGTTTGGTGGATAAATAATTCAACACCCACAGTCATCTCAATTCAAGACTTTTAAAGTGCTCGTAGGATCCAGGATTGTTAAAAGGCTTTTAAGCAGCCTCTGAACTTCCAGTACACTTCCTAAACTTCTTGGAAAAAAATAATACAAGAACATCCAAGTGCAAGTAGTGGCACTGCTGTACCAGAGTAGGAAGTGAGTGAAACAGCTTTACATTAAGCCATTACACCTCATTAAAGTTACAGCTTTTGTTGCCTGTGTCCCAGAAGCATTAAGCCAAACGGGAATAAGTTCAGATAAAGGCCACTAAGATGAAAGAACAACTCACTAAATAAGAAATTAAAAGGCTTGGCTTATTTAGCAAAGCAAATCCTGAGAGGAGACCTGACCATCACCAGCAATTTACCAGGATGACACAAAGGGCAAAGAACAAGAACTGAAATGAAAGGCTGTGTTGTCATAAAGCAGGCAGAAAGGTTGCAAACATCAGGATAATGGCTCAGAAATAGCCTTCCAATTACAGCAGCAGCAGCAAAAGATATTTCTAGGACTGAATCTGGTTAGTTTGTGTAAGGGACTATGATAAAGCACTGGAAAACATGGCTGCCCGAATTAGAATTAGAATGGAGTTCTGCCACAGCAAGTTCCTTCCAGCTCTACAGCCCTGTGATTTATTTCCAAACATTCCTTTCATGCATAGCTCCGCTGGTACTGTGCTCATTCAGGACAGAAGCCAAGGCCTAATTCAAATCAATGGAAGTCTTTCCACAGACATCAGTGCGCCTTGGATTGGAGCCCTAGAACTCAGCACACAAATGGCATGTTATTGTTCACTGTGTTTGCACTCATTATCACTGCTGTTACACACTGGATTTAGGAGATGGCTTGATTGAAAACTTCAGCCTGATCCTTGTTCCTGGAGTTCTGCAGGCAAACAAGGCAAACATTGTTCAATTGTTTCCATTCTTCACGTTCATTACATAAAAGAGAATCACAGAATCCCAGCACGGCCTGGGTTGCAAAGGCCCACAGTGCTCCTCCAGTCCCAACCCCTGCTGTGTGCAGGTCGCCAACCAGCAGCCCAGGCTGCCCAGAGCCACATCCAGCCTGGCCTTGAATGCCTGCAGGGATGGGGCATCCACAGCCTCCTTGGGCAACCTGTGCCAGTGTCTCACCACCCTCTGCATGAAAAACTTCCTCCTCAGATCCAACCCAAACCTCCCCTGTCTCACTTTACAACCATTCCCCTTGTCCCATCACCACCCACCCTCACACACAGCCGTTCCCCTCCTGTTTATCCGCTCCCTTCAAGCACTGAAGGCCACCATGAGGTCACCCCACAGCCTTCTCTTCTCCAAGCTCAACAAGCCCAGTTCCCTCAGCCTTTCCTCACACAGAGCTGCTCCAGCCCTCTGACATCTCAGTGCCTCCTCTGGCCCCACTCCCAGAGCTCCACGTCCTTCCTGTGCTGGGCCCCCAGCCCTGGACGCAGTGCTGCAGATGGGGCCTCACAAGAGCCGAGCAGAGGGGGACGATCACCTCCCTGTCCCTGCTGGCCACTTGGCCAATCCAAGCAACCAATCATGTACAACAACCAAGACATAACTGACAAGAACAAAATATGTTTCTCCTGAATTCTGTACTTGTTATCAGTTTCCCCAGAAGAACCTCATCTCTCAGAGCTCAATGCCTTCTGTTTCCACATACCCACAGCAGTGCTAACACTGCACACCTCTTAATGGTGCAAGATGGAAGATAAAATTAGACAGGCTGTGCATAGGCTGTGTTCTTTCAGTCTACAAACAAAGCCACCCTACGAACGGAGCAGTTCCCAGTTCCCAGCACCAAGGCTGGGTGGGCTTGCTCAGCCTAGAAGGACAAGATGGTCATTGATACCAAACACTTAAATAATACTATGAGTTGCTTTGATACAATATACATCCTGCTTTCTAGGATATTACATCATAATATATGACACCACTTCCAACAGCTGGAAGTAAATTCACCACTAAGTGCTGGTGCCACTTGAAGGGCACTGGAATGGGTTAATGTGGTTGTGTAGGCTTTTGTCACCTGAGAGCAAGGAAGATGGAGGGCAGCTGGGAGAGCAACTGCAGGATGGCCATGGTGCTGAGCCTGTGGCAGGAGGCAAAGGTGGGTGATCTCTGCTTGGGATACAAAGAATAAGATGCAGCAGAAACATGTCGTATCTGAGGAAAGCAGGAATGGTGAAGGGATGGAAACGAACTGCATTAAAACAGCCAGCAGTGCTGGTAGGAAACAAAGAGCACCAATTAAAAGATTTGGGCTCAATTTCAGAAGGTTATTCAGCATTAGGTCTGTAAAATGAAAAGTGAAATGCCATG